AGGTTTGCCTATAACCCCAGCTGACCTGAAACTCACTATGTAGTCCAGGCTGGCCTTGACCTCATAGAGATCTACCCTCTACAGCCTCCTGAGTGCTGGGATTAAAGGTGTATGCTACGATGCCTGGCGAGACATCACTCTAATAACAATATTCATGATATTTTATAGTTTAAGTACTGATGTTCCTTGGTTAAATGAGCATGTAAGGTGTCCTATGTAGTCCAATTAGTTAGCTGGGATAAAAACAATTAAACAATATGTATATTTTACTAAGGAAATGGATAATTTCCTCATTAAAATAATAATTTTTAAAAGTAGTTGGTTAAGCCTTTAAGGCCTATAAAATTCTGATTTCCTTTAAAAATATTTTATTTTATGTTTCTATGTGTGTGCCTTGGCACAATTGTAGAAGTCAGAGGACTTGTAGGAGTTGATTCTTTCCTCCCACCATTTGGGTCCAGGAGCAGCAAACACTTTTGTTCATAAAGTGATCTTGCTGGAGAAAATATTCTTTTTCTTTTTTTCAGTGTCTTCATAATAATTTTTTTAGTTTCATACATTAATATTGTATTTGCATTATTTCTACCCCTCCCAATCCCTCTCCAGTTCCTTCCATGACCCCCACTCCCTCAAAAGTTCCTATCCTCTTTGATTATTATTGTTACATATACATACATCTATAAATATATATATATTTATATATACACACATAGATAGTACACTAAGTATATTTAGTGATACTCATATATACCTGTGTTTAGGGCTGCCCACTGGGATTACCTCTCAGGGAGCTAGTCCTTAGAGAAAACTGATTCTCCCCTCCTCAGTATCCATTGATTGCCTGTAGCTCTTCATCCTGAGGTGGGAACCCTGTGACATTTCCCCCATCCACCTTGGCATGTCAGCTGGTTTTGTCATTATGCAGATCTCATTAGATGACCACACAGTGAAGGTTTTATTGGTGTAGCTTCCCTGTCATGTCTAGAATACATTAACTAGCAGCAGGTGTCTTGTCCCTCTGTCTCTTACAATCTTTCCGCCTCCTTTTCCACATGTTCCCTGAGCCTTAAGTGTAGAGGTTGCATTATAGCTATATCAATTAGGGCTGGGCACCTCACAGTCACTTATTCTCTGCATTTGACCTTTTGTGGAACTTTGTTGTAGCCTCCATCTGTTTCAAAAAGAAGTTTCTTTCATGAGTAGTGAGAGGTTCACTTGTCTGTAAATATGAGACTATGTATCTAGAATATAGTAAGAAATTACATTAGTCTAGGAAAGTGTTAGAAGTAGGTTCTTCTTTAGGTTTGGCCTCTCCAACCATGTGCATTGGACTATGTTTGCAGTACCATGCATGGATTCCTTTTATTGAGTGGGCATTAAGTCCAATTGACAGCTGTTGATAACCCACAAAAGTGCCCCTATTGCACCAATAGAGATAATTTGCTGGGCAGTCATTGTTGTGGTTCATAGGCTTTATAGCTAGGTAGGACCATTTACTGTTTTTCTCCCTTGGCAGCTTGCATACTATCTTATGATACTATGAGAGCTAGTTGTCAGGGAGGAGGCTTCCAGGTCAGTTCTATCTCACTTGCTTCAAGTTCTGTATTTGTAATATGTCGTGTCTTTAGCAATAGGGTCTTACCTTCAAGTTCTGGAAGGCAATCACAGGCTGTGGCAATAACCTATATTATTTTGGGAGTCTCTTGAACTACTTTGATCAACAACTTGAAGGGAGGTTTCCCTTGCCTAGCACTGTGATTTTTGTTATAGTGCCTTCAACTATACACATGCACTCACATATATATTAAATGTGTATTTTTCAGTAGCCTTATGAAATAATGCACTTCCTTTTGGCATTCCATACCACCTAAGCATTACTCAACCTCTCTTCTTTCTTTCTCCCCCTGTATAGTCCTCCCACCTCCCTCCCCAGTTAAAGTTCCCCCTATTTCCCCATTTCCCCCTTGATTCCACCTGTCTCCTACTGTCCCCCTCTCAAGAGCTCCTTCTTCCCCTTTACTCCCATGATTCCTTTCCATTTTCCTGGCTCCTGCAGTTATATCAGGATATGTACTCAAACCTAGGGATTTGGAGCTAAGATCCACAAATGAGAGACAATATACAACACTTGTTTTTTCTGAGTCTGCATTCCCTCACTTAGGATTACAGTTTCTAGTTCCATCCATTTACCTGTACATTTCATGATTTTATTTTTCTTCACAGCTGAATAGAACCCCATTGTATAAATGTACCACATTTTCATTATGCATTCATCATTTGAGGGACATTTAGGTCGCTTCCATTCCTTACCTATTGTACATGGCTGTACAAGTATCTCTGCAGTAGGATGAGTCCTTTGGGTAGATACCAAGGAGTGGTATAACCAGATCATATGGAAGATCTATTTGTAGTTTTTTTAAAGAATTCTCACACCGGATGTGTGTGTACGCCTTTAATCCCAGCACTTGGGAAGCAGAGGCAGGCGGATCTCTGTGAGTTCCAGGCAGGGTGGGACTCAAAAACAAAATAAAACAAGACAAAACAAAAAAATTATCCACACTGATATCCATAGTGTCTGTACCAGTTTGCAATCCTACCAGAAGTGAGTGAGGCTTCCCCTTTCCCCACATCCTCACTAGCATTCGACGTCATTTGTTCTCTTGTCTTGGCCATTCTGACTGGGGTAAGATGAAATCTTAAGGTAGTTTTAATTTTCACTTCCCTAATTACTAAGGATGTTGAACACTTTTTAAGGTATTTCTTAGCCATTTTTATTTCTTCTTTTGAGAACTCTAGGTTCAGATCTATAGCCCATTTTTTAAATTGGGTCATATGTTTTCTTGATTCTTTGTTTTTTGAGTTCTTTGTATAGTTTGGAAATTAATCCTCTGTCAGATGTACAGCTAGCAAAGATTCTCTCCCACACTTTCCTGCACCTAAAAATTGTAGAGTGCTGCCTGTGCTCTCTTCTGACAGTTTCGGCATTTCAGGTTTCACATTGAGGTCTTTGACCCATTATTATTATTAATTATTATTGTTATTATTATATTATTTGTATGAGTGGATTGTCTGTATGTAGGTAGGTGCACCTGTTGTGCAGTGCTCTTGGAGGTCAGAAGAGGGTGTCAAGTCTCCTGGAACTGGAGTTACGGATGGTTTTTAGCCACCATGTGGGGTGCTGGGAATTGAGCCCAGGTCTTCTGCAAGAGCAGCCAGTGCTCTTAACTCCTGAGCCATCTCTCCAGCCCCTCTTTGATCCATTTTGTTCAGGTTGATAAATATGGGTCTAATTTAATTATTGTACACATACAGATCTAGTTTTCCCAGAGTCATTTGTTGAAAATGCTGTCTTTCTTCCAGTGTGTATTTTGGCACCTTTGTCAAATAGCAGGTGGCTGACATTGCATGTACTCATATTTGGGTCTTTTTTTTCCATTGATCTACATGTCTGTTTTTGTACCAATACCATGCTGTTTTTATTACTCTAGCTCTGTACTATAGTTTGAAATCTGATATGGTAATTCTTCGAGCATTGCTTTTATTGACTTTTTTCCCCACAGTGTTGCTTTGGCTATCCAGGTGGGTGTTTTTGTTTTTGGTTTGTTTTTTTTGTTTTGTTTTGTTTTGTTTTGTGTGTGTGTGTGTGTGTTTTGTGGTTCCATATGAATTTTAGGATGTCTTCGTCTATTGTCATGAAAAATGTTATGGGTATTTTGATTGGGACTGCACTGAATCTGTAAGTTGCTTTTGATAAGATGGTCTTTTCCACAGTGTCAGTTCTACCAATTCATGAGCTCAGTAGTTCGTTCCCTATTCTAGTGTCTTCCTCGATCTCTTTCTTCAAAGATTTAAAGTTTTCATTGTAGAGATCCTTAATGTCTTTTGGGTTGATATAGTCCTAGATTTTTTTAAGGCTGTTATGAATGGGAATGTCAGAAAAAGAAATTATGGAAATACAAGTACATTAAAACACTGATATGTAAACCTAAAACGTTATTAATGTGATCAGTTTGATCTAATTTCTTGAAAAGTACCATTGCTTTTATGGCTTAATTTATTTTAATGTTAATTTTTTTGGTCTTTTTGAGACAGGGTTTCCCTGTAGCCCCAGCTGTCCTGGAACTCACTATGTAGACCAAGCTGGCTTTGACCTCACAGAGATCCGCCTGCCTCTGCCTCCCAGGTGCTGGGATTAAAGGCGTGTGCCACCACACCTGGCTTAATGTTAATTTTTAAGCTATAAAGCAGTGGATGCAAGATTAATAGTTGTTGCAACAAGGGTCAGCAGGTTTTTCCTGTAAAGAGGCAAATAGCAAATAATACTTTAGGTTTAACTGCAGCTGACTCTGTCACATCTGCTCAGTTCTCTAGTAGTAGAGAAGCAGCCAGAGATGTTAAATAAATGATTCAATTATATTCCAACAAAATGTTATTCATAAAACAAAAGTGGAAGGCTGGACATGGCCAAGGGCTTTAGTATTGTGCCACAATAAGTGGTTTACAAAAAAAAATCACAAATTTTCAGGAAATAAATGTATTTACCTTGTATATATTGCATGACTTTTAAGTTCTGTTTTAAATTACATACAGGTAACATATCTTGGGAAGGAGCTTTTGAAATATGTTTCTGAAGACGTCCCTGCACCTCCAGAACCCAATAACACAGCTCAGCACCATCACCCATGTCTGCCAGGTATGTGTAGCTTAATATCTGTTTCTTAGATGTAGGGTAAAAACACCTAAAGCTACTTCTTCTGTCTTTCCCTCCATTGAGGTAAAATTCACAATCTATTCATTACAATTAACCACTTTAACATTAGGAATCCAATGACAGCATGTTCACAAAGTTGCACAACTGTGTAGTTTCAAAATACTTTCATTGCCCCCAAAAGAAACCTGCACTCAGTCAGCAGTTCTCCCCAATATCCACTCCCCTCCCCAGTTCAAGGAAGTTGCTTTCTATCTGAATGGATCTGTTTGTTCTGAATATATTATATAAGTGGAATAATGTAGTATGACCTTTTATTTCTACTTATTAACTCAGCATAATGGTTTTGAGGATTATCCACATTGTAGCATGGGTTTGTACTTTGTTCTCTGTTATGGCTAATACTCTATTATATGACTATCCCACAATTTGTTCATCCTTTAAGCACATAAGTTGTTTCTGCTTCTGGGCTATTGTGAGCGATGTGATGAGCATGCATATACATCTGAGTACCTGTGGGTATATGCTTAGGACTGGAATTTCTATATTGTATATAGCTCTAGATTTATGTTCTTAAAGAATAGCTAAACTGTTTTCCACATCAGTACAGCCATCTTACAGTCCCACAGTAAGAATCAAAGGCTTCAGGTTCTCTAAGCCCCCAATAATCTTCTGTTAGTTTATTTTCCTAGCCATAGTTGATTCTAGAAAAAGTTTTTAAAATGATACCATCTCATACAATTAATTTTCTTCTTTGAATCTATTCTGTAATCACCCTGGGTAATTGTCATTGAAATTACTCCTTTTTTTATAGTGAGGCTCCATATTTCAAACTGCTTTTCTTTCCTGACTTTTTACTTAATCTATCTTAACCTCTTAAGATCCTCCTCCATCTCAAAAAATAGCTTTATCATAATAGGCACGTGCTGCTTGGTTTTCTAAAGACGGCCCTCATTTTGGCAGAAACCTGGTCTGGGAGATCAGAAAACAATAAATGTGGAGAAGTTACAGAGATTAAGACACTAGAAAGAGTTCTTGAAGTAATTCATTGTGTTTGGTTTAATTGAATCTAGGTGTAAACCTTAGTAACCTGAATTCTTTTAAGTGACTCATGCAGCCAGCCTGACTGTAGATCTTGGATGACTAGAAGGACCATTTTGTATGCAGAAGATAATTTGATATTCAGAGGTTTACTTAGACTCCTAAGGGTGAAATTGCTAAAACAGTCTCAGTCTCTCTCTCTCTCTGTTCTTTCTCCCCCCTTTCTTCTCTCCCTTTCTCCCTTTCTCCCTCCCACATACACACACACATGCACACCCATACCCATTTGCAGGAAAGTCAAGCAAACCCTTTCTCTTCCTACTTTCTAACCTGAAGAGTCAAAGAAGAGCTGTAGGTTCTTCCTTACATTAAAAGGAAGAGTAATTCCAGGGAGCTGATGGGTAGTTACAGAAGTACTGTTTGGTTCTTGACCTCGTTTATGACATTTTCTGTTGTGCAGCAGCACCCCTCTGCCTATACTGCCTCCAACTGGATGCTGGGATAAAAGGAAGTGTGTTGTGGCAGAGGAGGGTAGCATAATGCTGGCTCTATCTGGTTTTCAGGGTTGTACCCTGCTCTTTCACAGATCACGCCCAAGTGTGAGGCTCATTTGTGAGCTTGCATCTGCTTCTCAGATTTTTTTTCTTCTGTTGCCTATAATATAGTTTCTTACTATTAATTTCTTTCCAAAAACCCTGATTTTCCTTTTCTTCAGATATTTTAGAAAATGTGTATGCTAATTTGAAAGCTATAGAGGTACCAGGGTGCCATCCAGCTTCTTGCTGCCTTGGTCTGAGCCTAGGAATCCACAGGCAGATTCCTGCTGGCCTCCTATAGACTGCTGTTGAAGTTTCGTTTGAACGTTCTTGATTAGGATTCTTTTGTGCTTGCTTGATGGTACCTGGCAGAATCCAATAACACTGCAAGTTAGAAAAATATAAAACTCTTTAATCCAACTACAAGAGAAGCATTCATGAGAGAATCATTCTCCCTCCCTGCATATCAAATGTAGTTATTGGAAATAAAGACATGGCTCTGACACTGTAGAGACCCAGTCAGTGTGCAGCCTTCATTAGCTCACCTCAAATCATAAGCATAACATATGTTTATGATGATCAGTCTTCAGAATAGTAACTTGAAAAGATAGAGTGCCCTTCATTTCAGTGCTGCTGACATGCTCCCTTTTCTGTAAAAGTATGTGTAATTGAGCAGAAACATCCACAGGTGCTTCTCTTTTATGTGGTTAAGAACTAAAACCCAGAGGAAGATGAGCGCTTGACAGCAGTGCCAATGGTGTTTATTTCAGCTCTTCTTTATAACTCTGAATTCTTTCTCACTGTACTAATCATAGTTTTTCAGTCAGGTATCACAATTAACATTCCTTTAAACTAAATCATAAGTTGGAGAATGCATGCATTGATTGGGGAAGAAAGATGTTTTTAAACCGAGTATTTGTCAAGTATCTGCCATGCCTGCAGCCTCTGTGAGGTCACTTTATACATATTAAATTGTTTACTGCTTTATAATAACATTTGGGTTTTTTTTCTATTCAGTCAAACGCACAAAAACAAGAACACTTAATACATTTAAAACCAAGTACTAAAGTCTTATTAGTTTTAAGAAACTTTGTATTAGGTTTCAGGTCACTCAAAGAATGAGGGCTTAAGTTGCTGTAAACAAGATACCTCAGGTCTCATGAGCTTCAGCAGAGCCTCATGGTAGCAGGAGTAGGCAGAGGAGGAGCTCCTTTGATGGTGACAAACAGGAAACAGAAAGAGAATACAAAAAGAGGCCAGAGACAGACACAGCACCCCCCACATACCCAGGGTACATCCTGGCAGCCTATTTCCTCCAACTGGCCCCACTTCCCACTCATCCATCACCTCCCATATTATGAACATATCAAGGCACTAATCCATTTGTTAGGTCAGAGCTCTGACTATTTAAATCTCTGGAAACACCATCACAAACATATCCAGAGGTTAATTTGCTAATCCTATAGACAACACCTAATCCAGTCAAGTACACAATGAAGATCAAGCATCATACCATTTGCTTAACTAATTGTTGATCATTTTGTTTGTGGTTAGAATTATGTTTCTCATTCTAAATTATTTTATCATAGAAAGATATTTGGGTTTTGTCCCTGGTTCCTGGCACCAGGAAAAAGTCCTTAGAGTTTCCCAAATGATCAGGGTAATAGGATTGTCTTCTTTCTGAGATGGATTATAGCTGGTCCCTAGATAGCTTAAGGCTAGGAGCTGGTCTCCAGAAAGACCAAGCCTTGATTGGAAGCTTACAACCTTCAGCCCCATCTTCCAGGCTCCAGGGAAGAGAGAGGCTGGAGATTGAAGTAATAGCTAGTGACCAATGATTTAATTAGTTGCTTTAGGCCTATGAAAGGCAGGTACATTGTACTAGGAACATATAGCAGAGCAAAGGTTCTTACCTCATGACCAGGATGGCCAGGAAACAATAGAGCAAGAAGGGTCTGGGATCCCACAATCCCCTTTGGGGGCATGTCTCCAATAACATAAAAACCTCTCTTTAGGCCCCACCTTTCAGAGGTTCAACACCATCTCTCAATACCATCATCCAGGAGTTAGAGTGTCAACAGAAAGGCCTTTGGATGACGTTTAAGAATCAAACTATAGCGCACACCTAGTTAGTGTCAGAGAGTTGGACAGTGGTTTGTATGAGGGGAAAAAAAAAAAAAAACCTCACATATTGGAAGACAAAAGTACCATGGGTAATTACAGCTCATTAGAATGAGAATGTATCTATAAATGTAATCTGTTATTTTCCATTTGTAACCAGAGTAAGCCAAGTTTCATTCCATAATCCTAATGAAATCTAGAGTGTTTAGTTTGTAAAGAACAAGTCCAGGAAGTCTTGAGTTGAAATTTTTACAATTAGAAATGAACCCCGTATACAAGTGTCAGCTAAGCACTGAACCTGATATATGGTGAAGCTAAGAGCTAGAGAGGTAAAATAGGTTAAATGAAAAGCACTTACAGATTAATGAGCCTTCAAAAGTAAGCCATCACCGAAAAGTAAAAATTTAATTATTTTGCTTCTGACCAGTTAAGTAAAAATTAAAACATTAGAAGGGGAAAATAAAGTAAAAATAAAAAATTTAACCTAACTAAACTGTCATATCATATTGAGGGATTAATTATGGCAACTAAATAATGTGAATTTGCATGCAGAATTATTCTGCCTAGTTAGTAAACCTAGCAATTCAGTTTAAGGATACTTGTAGAATATATAACGTTGGACACTATTACTTGAGGAAAATTTATTTCTCCTAACCCCACTCATGGGCATAGCAGTCCCTTAGCTGTACAGTCCTTGTTGGAAAGGAGGGGCAGAAAGACAAATTAGGCATCTACATAAATAGCTACTTTTCAAATTGTACTAAATGAGCTGCTATTTGTTCACAGATCTTGTTTAGGAAACATACCTCAAGTAAAAATAAAATGAAAAGACCAGTGGCTTTTTGCTCCCAACCAGGTGATTGATTGCCTTCACAAAGCTATGCATAGATGTCTTTGATGATGATGATGATGATTATTATTATTATTATTATTATTTGACCTAAGAGGGGATTGAGTGACTTCTCAAGATTCTAATTTTTCCCCTTTTTATTCACAAAAAATTCAGTGATAGAATATCATGTTTAATCCTTCACTAGCACTTTTGGTACTTAATTCCTTATACAGACATGTAAGACAAGAAAGGAGAACGATCTGAAGTAACTAGGAAGCCGAGATTTCTATTTTCTTTTCTTGATTTGATAATTCATTTATAATATTCAATATGCTGTTGTTTAATATGAACATAAGCAAAAGCCTTCCTCCAATCCAGTCTTCCTTGTCTTCTTCATGCCTCAGAGCTGGGAAGTGTCTGGGCCTCTGAGCATTATTCCCCCTAGTCCTCCCTAC